TTGCTTTGCACTTATTTTCTTAAACGTACTTATCCCAATATTCCTTTTGAAAACAACATTTCTCATCTTTTTTTGGATATTAGAGGACTGAGTTCAAATGAGATTTGTGTTCTAAACACAACATACAGTTAGGAAAGGGCATGAATTGAAATTTTAAATCTAGAGGGGAAAAAAGTGAATGAGCTTGGGAAGTGTATGCCTTAATGTACAAGCAGACATGAATGTATTAACAAATGTTAATTTGAACATATTTGGGAATATCAAGATTTTTAGAAATATTGTTATACAAGTAATATTATGAAAGTGGCATCTGGATAGAAGGAGAATTCTAATTTAATTTTCACTTTTCTGAATTCTGGAAATATATTTATTATTTTTGTCCCATTCAGCCCTAAACACGTTCCTGAAATCTCATATAACATCATTACTGCTTAAATTTTCCAGATTTTGTTTTTTCCTGTTTATTTTTGCCTTGGTTCTGCATAAGGAAAGAAATACCAAAAGGGGTTGTTTTACATAATCACCCCCTGCTCATGTCCTTCCTATTTTTCTACAACCATTCAGCCTAAAAGATAGAACATATGATTACTCAGTGAAAGCCCTGCAGCTATGAACTCCATCTGTTTGTAGCCTTCTAAGTATTACTTGTATAAAGACAATAAAAAAGTCTTGTTCCTTTATAAGGATGACTGCAAGTAGTTTGATCTCTGAAAAAAATAACAAAGATTTTCTTTCTCCAGCTCTTGAAAATGACTCAGTATGAGATTTTGATCTCTATATTGTAAATTTGATATCCTGTGCATCTCCTCCCCATCTCATCTATTGAGCTGCTTGTTGTATTACATCTTTCAGGATTAACACGTGATTGATTAAGCAGCCTCATTTTCTGCTTGCTTTTCTATATGATTATTCTATGCTTAAATGTTTCAAGCTCATTATCAGCCAGACTCACTGCAGTAAGAGAGTTCACCTTAACTGCTTCTGTATTTTAGGCACTAACTGCTGGAATGTAAAAAACTCTTAATATGAACCACCAATCATTGTGTACTGACACAGAGGGGTGTTTAGGATATATCTCAAACATGTTTGGTTCTTCTAATGACAAAAAAGTTACCAACACACAAAATGGAGTTGGAATCTACTCCATTCCATAACTGAACACCTGTAATATTCTTACATGTGTCTGGGCATGGTTCTTCTTTCTGAAACTGCCCGCTCACCTGTCTGCTGTGGTCATGAGATGTTGGAGCAGTAACCTTGGTTTTTTCCTTACACCCTGGTCAAGGCTTGGAGATTTTGGATGATTCCCTCAAAGTCTTTCTTTGCTCTAACCTCTCTTCGGTGTTCTACAATCTCTGCTGCATTTCAATTTAAATGGAATTTTACTATTTGCTTGCAGAATTGCTCTCAGCCACATTGCTCAACCTGATTTGCTGCTACAAACCACAAATGCTTCTCCAATGTTACTACTACTTGTCATTTTCACTTTGCTTCCAGAAATAATAACTTTAGACTGATCTGGATTTTCATGTAAAAGTGCTTACTTCTGACCGTATCTACTCCTTTCTGACCAAAAGAACACAGGGGCAGCATTTTCAAGTCAGAAAGCACTTGGAGTGCTCTCCTGATGGATTGCAGAGTGGCTTTTTGCAGGCAGGGGCAATGGAGGGTAGAAATGAACTTCTCCAAATGGAGTTGTCCCTACTCTACATAGCCCTGTTGGAGGTTGAAGGCTAGGGCAGCTTCCTCAAATGCTTTAGCAGGGAATATGGTGTAAACATCTAGACATTTAGTTGAGATTCCTTTTATCACATGGAGACTTGGCACATTAGTCAAGGCATTCTCTTCGTCCTGTTCATGCAGAAAAGGCAGAACTTTGTTGGCTGCTGCATGGCCATATTAAGGTTAATTGCAAGAGATTTCCCCTCTTGATTTCTATATTCTGTGTTTTACTAACTGGAAAAGTCAGAAATGCCCCTTAAATAAAACTGAGGATTACTAGGAAAATAGTGCAGCTACGAGGCTGCAAACAGCTGCTCCCACAATGGCAACTGCTGTCGACTGTCATGTGTCTTCCAGCACCTGGAGTCAGCAACAGTCACACACACATCCCTTACTGTGAAATGTAGCAAACACAAGGCTTGCAAGTGTGTGTTCAACTTCAAACCCCAGCGCCCAGCGGAGATTTGTATCAAAAGTATCATTTGAGTGACTGAACCCAAGGCAATAAATAGATAAAAGAAAGGCATGCTGCTTCTGTAATGAAAGACTGGAACAGCATGGGTTTAGGCACCTTTGGAGTTTACCTGCAGTCATGAAGAGGCTCCCATGAGAAAACACTCAGAGGCAGGTTTCAATGAGCCATTTCCACAGGAATACAGATATAGGGTGGACAGAAAGGACAGCCTCTCCTACTAAAAATTTCAGATGCTCCATCCTCCCAGAAGCAGAGTGCGGTGACCAGGCACAGCAAGGGAGCAGAGAAGAAGGACAGCAAAATTCTCAGACCTCTTCAGAGAGAGTCAAAACTTTACCACCACGTCCCTCAACATCTTTTAAAATCTAGGTTCAACTAGGACACACTCTGCCAGTCACAGAAATGCTAAGCTCACACAGGACACTCTTCCCACCCCAAAACACTCGACGTGAATCTTGGAACAGGCTTTACATATTTATATTTTCTGTCACTGAGCAACATTTGCCCTACATTTCTTCTCTTTCACTGTGAACAAACGTGCGTCTTCACTCTCCCTGCCCCCCGTGTGAACGGTTTTCTGAAGCAGATGCTGCTGCTTCAGCAGCACAAGGTCTTTAACTACCAGGTACCTCTTCAGGGCTCGAGTCAGCCTCTTCTCTGTCCCCAAGCCACTCGGCCAAACATTCCACACTGACTGTCCTCCCAAGAGCGAGCATGGCTGTCTGTTTGCTTGTACAGAAAGTTCAGAGCCTCAGGATAAACTTAGAAGGGTATTTTCCTGATGAATTAGCTTCTCAGCAAAATCCTCACATCACAACAGAGAGCTGGGAGTATTTGCTGCCCATTGCTGAAGATGAAGGTGTACTCCAACAGTGCGAGGAACAGGAAGTCCAATTCCTGAACCACCCTGCTCTCCAAGCCCCCTAACTCTGTAAAATGGACAGAAAACTCAACTCTCTGGAAATGCTGGAATACTCACTTGAAATCCCATTTTCCATTTTTCACACATGTAAGAAGCCCAGTGAGAAAGAATTTGGGGTAGACAAAATTCCTTCTACGAGATCAGAAAATGACAAATGAGAATTGGTGAAGCATTGTTTTATGTTATCTTCCTTGCTTCTTTTCACACCATATATGCAAAAAAATCCTGAAATTTAAAATTATTATTGGCATTTCAAACAAATAAGATAACATTTTAGAAAATTCCTCTTATCCCATTTGTCTTTAATAATTTAAGAGGGTACTTTCTAGAAAGATAGTATAGTAGTTCTCTTTTTACAGTATGCAATTTCAAGGCAATTCTTTTGGATTTCTTCAAATTACCAAAGATGTTTATTTTCCACTGCTTCAGTTTGTATCTTACAGAGTTCCTCCTGCCTATGATCAGTAGAAGCACAAAGGGTCATGCACTTTCTGTACTATCCAGTTAAGTAAGTCCTTATTACTTAAATAACTCTCTGAAGAATAGCAGGCAGATAAATCATGTAAGATTTTTCCAGTTTTTTAACAACCACCATCTAGAATACATACACACAGCTTTAAAAGAACATTGATTACACTATCCACCAGATGCTAAAGTAAGTTTTGTTTGCTTTTAAAGGAGTAAGAAAAATATTTGTGGAAAAACCTAAACATTTTTTCTGACATTATATGAAAATAGTAATAATTATGCCTAACAGAACTAGCTACAATGAAAGTAAAGCTGCCTGTTAAAAAACTGACAACCGATTGAAGCTTGTCATTTCAACCTTCATCAATTGCTTTCTTGAGTGACTCATCAAATCAGTGTTACCTAAAAAGTCAATACTGAGAAAGAGGATAAACCAATAAAAACTCCTTTCAGTCACACAATTGCTACCACTCTTGAGAACACAGTCAAGCATTTTATTGTTTATACTCATTTTCATTTACACATAAGAGGAACAATCAATGCAGTTCTATCACAGAAGGTGGACCATGTCCTGAAACTCTGCTGAATACGCACAGACCTGTCTTAAGGTCCAATCAGGAGAAAAAAAAACAAAGGAAAAAGAAAACAAAACAAAAGAAGAAAAACAAAAAACATAGGGGGGGAGTAGGGAGGCAAGAAATTTCACTAACATCAGTTAATTAATGATTCATGAGTATTTATTTTGCAGGTGAAATAGCTCTTCTGAAAGAGCAAACTGCTTCACTTCTTTACAAAATACACTAAATAATGTTAAGTACTTAGAGGATTCTAAATTTCGCAGTGGTTCATGCGGTAAGGGTGTGCAACCGACACAAAATGGAAAACATGGTTACAGCATCAAACTGCTACTCCTATTCCCAGCTGGTTTATGGAAAAGGTCATCGGACTTCTTGATTTCTGCTCTTATGGAGTAAAATCAAGAAGTATTCCTGTTTAAAGGCAACTATGAGGACAGACTACAGATATGCAGTGCAGTTGAACAGGTCTACAACTCTTGTTTCTAGAGCATTTGCATTCACTATTGTTTTGAAATACAAATAAAACTTTTGCACACTGTCACTTCTCACACATGTTCAGCTGAAGGAGTCATTTACAGAAATTACTGTGATGCTCCTATTTTAAACGTGAGTTTGTCTCCTCTTGGCCTTATAGGTGAAGGGAGCAACTCTTTCCACTGAAAGAAAGAAATTACAGGTGTGCAGAAGTACAACTATGCTACCAACACAGACAGAGACAACTGTGCTCTTGTGCACACCCCTACAACCGGCCGGAGAACAAATTAAGAAGTTAAGCCTGCAAAATAAATGGAGTTTACTCTCAAACTTTTTTTTCTTCATTCCAGATGAATTATAGACCTTGATTCGAGGCTGCCCTCTTTTTTTTTTTTTTTTTTTTTGTGCAACTGATCTGCGTGCCTATTGGAACAGCATCTCTGCCAGAGTCATTACACTGAAACGCAGAGCTGAGCAGTTTGGTGGCAGAATGTATTGACGTTTTTGCAGCATCATGAGTCTGGCAACTGGGCTTGGGGAAGTTTCAAGCAGTGGGTCTTTACAATAGCAACTTGATTCTGCAGACAAAAAGCAAAAGATTGGCAGAATTATTACAGTATCACAATAAAGGCATGTATGCATTCTGCAGAACGTGGCGCTGGGTTTAGTGATGAGCTGGCAGCCACTGCTGTCCAGGGGCGCAGAAAGGCAAAGCCCTTCCGCGTGTGAAGAGACACACCGAGGTGTCCAGTCTCCCACGGAGGCTAAGGGACAGCTTTCCCCTCGGGACGCCTGCTCGCAGCCAGCTCCGCTCCCGCAGGAGCAGCCGGAGCCGTGAGAAGGGCAGAAAGAAGTAGGGCTGGACTTTGTCAGCAGCCTTCATCTGGGGCCTATCCTACCTCCCTTCCTCGCCAAAACAAAAAAAAAAAAAAAAAACCAACCAAACCCAAAAGCAAAAAAAACACCAACAAAAAACATCATGCCGCTGGCTCCGGGGCCGCATCGACTCCCTTCCAAAGGGGCTGCACGCCCAGCTGCCCAGCGGTGCCTGCAGCTGCCGGCGGGGGCCGGGAGGCGGCACCGGGGACGCCGCGGCGGGCGGGGACCGGCCCGGCCCGGCGCTCTCCGGGGAGCTCGGCTGCGGGCTTGGACAGCGAGCGCCGTTTAGCACTAATTGGCCGAAACACCGGTCATACGAAATGGCGGCAGATTGGTTTAATAGGTGGAATAAAAAGCAGATTGCCGTTGAGTCACTCCCTGCGATCTGGGGTTGGGGAGGGGGGGGCGTGGGGGGGGACGACACACACAGCTGGTGAAATGTCAGGAGCGCGCAGCATCCCCAGCGCTCGCCGCCACTTGCGAAGGGTCTGAACACCAGCTCTTTGTGGGGTGTTCAGCCCCATATCCAACCCCCCGCCTCCTCCCGGCCCGTGGCGCCCCGGCTCTCCGGGCAGGGCGGGGTGCGCGGACCTACCTGTGGCGCCGGGCGCGGGCGTGCATGGGGGCTGCCCCGGGGAGCACATCGCATTCAACATTTCAGCCTGTGCATCGGAAACGTATGAGTTTGTGGAAAGCTTGTTTGAAGTCTTCGTTAGACATAGTATAGATGACGGGGTTGATGAGGGAGTTGAGATATCCAAGCCACGTGAAAAAGTCAAAGATGGCCATGTGGAACCAGCAAGCGTCCTTGCAAATAGGCATCACCAAGCTGATGATGAAAAAGGGCAGCCAACACACGATGAAGGCTCCTAAAATAATCCCTAAAGTCTTTGTAGCTTTCCGCTCTCTAGCGGCCGTCAGCTTCTTTTTCTCCAGCAGGGCGTCCGAGACCTTCACCTTCACCTGGTTCATGTACACGGGGGAGCCCGTTTCGCTGGATCCCTCGGGAGCCTTGGAGTTTATGGACGTGACGGAAGAGGTCGACCCCGGGGAGTCTGTAATTAACTGTGCCCGCGTTAGTCTTTTACCTGCTTTCTTTGGCGTCTGCTTCAAAATCCGCGACCTGGCTTCCACGTAGATCCTCCCGTACAGGGCTATGAGCAGCAGAGTGGGGAAGTAGAAGGCTCCTACTGTGGAGTACACGGTGTACAGGACGTGGTCCGTGTTCACCACACAGTTAGATACTTCCTCGACCTTCGCCTGCCGCCAAAACAAAGGGGGTATGGAGATGCAGATGGAGAAGATCCATACCAGTGCGATCATGCCCGCTGCCCGCTTGGGAGTCCGTTTCGTGGAGTACTCGACGGCGTCGGTGATCGCCCAGTAGCGGTCCAGGGCGATGACACAGAGGTGCAGGATGGACGCCGTGCAACAGGTGATGTCCGAGGACAGCCAGATATCGCAGACGATCTGACCCAGCGTCCACCTGCCGGTCACAGTGTACATGGTGCTGATGGGCATGACAAGGATGGAGACGAGGAGGTCCGTGACGGCCAACGAGGCGATCAGATAGTTGGCCGGCGTGTGGAGTTTCCTCGTCTGGTAGACCGTGGCGATGACAAAGGCGTTGGAAAGCACCGTGGCCAGGGTGACCAGCGCCAGGACGACGGCGAGCACGATCTTCCCGGAGAGAGGGGTGGCATCTTGGTAAACCACTTCCTCGGCGCTACAGTTTCGGTAAGAGTCGTTGGCGGAGCCCAACTGCGCCCGGCAGGGGCCGGCCGGCTCCATCCCTCCGCGGCCGCCGCCCCCGCAGACGGCGGGGCTCGGCGCGGCACGGCGGGGCCGCTACCCCGGCAGGACCCCGTCGGCGCCGGGGGAGGGCTGCAGCATCCCCGCGCCGGCACCACCTCCCCGCCCGCCTGCCCGCCCTTCCGGGAGCTCCGAGCGGGCTCCGCGGAGCCTCACTCCCCACGGGCGAGGGAGCCGGGCAAACCGGGGGCCAGGCGCGCCCGCTCGTCCCGGCAGCTCATCGCCCCGCCGCCTGCCCGCGGAGCGCGGCGAGCCCCGGACATGGGGCTCCCGCCCCGGCCGCCCCTAAGCGCAGCCCCGCCGTCCGCGGCTCCACACCGTGTCTCGACGGGCGCGGTGGCAGCGCCGCATGCCCGCGGGCGGCAGCCTCGCCCCCCGGGCTGCGGGCGCGACGGCGGGGGCTGCGGGGGCAGCGGAGCCGCCCCGCCGGGCCGTGCCTTCACACGCAGCCCGCCGCAGCAAGTTTGCAGCCGCCGCCGCGGGTGCGGGAGGAGCAGGAGGAGAAAGAGGAGGGTCCGCGGGAGGCACGGGGAGAGACCACCTCCCATTGCGCCCCGCCGCGGGCCATGCTGTCGAGGCCCGGCCTCCGCCCAGCACGGGCAGCCGCGGGCAGGGGCCGGTGTGAGCGAGCGGCGAGCAGCCGCCGCCCCTTTTATAGCGGGCGGCGCGGCTCCGCCGGCACCGAGCAACCGGTGCCGCTCTCGGGCGGGCTGCCCGCCCGCCTGCCCGCGGAGGAGGAGCCGCCGCCGCCTCCCTTGGCCCTCCCTCCGGCACCTACGAGCCGCCCGACGGGGGGGTGGGGGGTTCGGCCCGCTCCGGCTCCGCGCACCGCCCCACCGCCGGCCCCCCGCCCCTGCCCCTGCAGGCGTCGGGAGGAGCCCGAGCTCGTCCCCCGCCCAGGCGGGGAGCAGCCCCTCCTCTTCCAGCCCGACGAGGGATGCCACGGCACGGGCAGATGCAGGTGCTCCTTGGTCCTGCCGTTGTTCCCATCCTGTCTTGCACCGTGCCCGCTACGCCGTGGGGCTGGGCGATGCCAGGCTCCCCGGGGAGCCCGGCGGGGCAACACCCTGGTATACAGCTCGCCGCCACGTCCCGGCGGCCTTACACGTGCCGCTCGGTGCCGGAGCTCGGCGTACGGGAGGGGCCGAGGCGGTGCGGGACGGGAGCGCAGCCGGAGCGGGCCGCCCGCCCTGACCGCCGGGCGAGGGGCTGCGCAGCGGGCGAGCCCCGCTGCATTAGAGGTGCGCGGCCCACCGGATCACATCGCCTGCTTTACACTTCTAGTAATCCCGTGTCTTCTGGGCTCAGGCTTTCTTACCCGTTTTTCCCCTTCCTTTTATATTTTTTCTTTTATTTTTCTGGTGCGCTTGGAGGGGCACGCCCGTGGTTGAGCAGCCTTGATGTGCCCCACAGGCTCCTCCATTGCTCGGCAGGCGGGGACAGGAGCAGCGGGAGCGCACGTTTGGCCACGTCCCGCGGCTCCTGCCAGCGTTTGTTCTCAGCAGCCGCAGGAAAGTTTTGCACACAAAGGGAGCGCGAGCTTGGTTTTTGCTGGGTCAGGACAATTCCAAGCTCGGTGAAATGCATATGCTCCAGCCCAACTAAATCTCCTGAAGATAACACGACAAATTAAGAAAGCGTTTTCAGTCTGCAAGCACGTTTGTGCACATCTCCGTGTGCTGCTACATGCCTAAGTTCCCTGTAAACTCTCAGCAGTTCCCTCTTGGACATCTCCTCCTGGCTGTTTTCCTCTGTAATGAAAAAGCAATCAGTTTCCCTGTGGCCCCGTCCTTTCTGGGCTATGCTGAGCACCACACAGGGGCAGGCACTGCGGTGCTCTGTCAGGGACATCGAGCTCATGGGCAGGGTGAGAAACCACCGCGCCCTGTTCGCCACCCTTCTGCAAGAGGGAATGGCTCACCCGGGAGGATGCAGATCAAGGACGTACCACAAGAGGAGGCTGGAGAGGATCCATTGTGGCCCAGAGGGACTAGGAAACTAGGAAGAGAAGCATTGGACTGAAGAAGAGCCAGGGCTGCACAACAGTGTGGGAAAGTCAGAGCCCTGCAGGGACAGCCCCTTCCTCCCTCCTTCGGCACAGGGCAAGGTGCCCTGATCTTGAGATGTGCTGAGACCCACATTCTGAGATAATTTAAAAAAAACCCCAAAAACCTAAACAAAACAAAAAACCACAAACCGTGGTGGTGCTTGAGATTTTGTAAAATCTGTCCCAGATCTTTAGTTAGACTCTCAAGAAATGAGGGGCG